AAACTCACATTCATACAGTGGAATATGACTCAGCACTAAAAAGGAATGAGCTATTAATACACACAACTTGGTTGAATCTCAAAGGCATGCTGAGTGAAGCAGGCCCATTCAACAGGTTATGGACTATATGACTGCATTTATATGAAATTCTAGAAGATGCAAGACAGTGATAGAAAGCAGATCAGTGGATGTTAAGAGTGAAGCTGAGGTGGGGGTGGAGTGGTCCAAAGAGACTGACCCAGGAGGGGCGTGAGGGAGGTTTTGGGGGTGACAGCTATATTCTATATCTTGATTGTGGTGGTGTTTACATGGGTGAACATACTTGTCAAAATTCATCTAGTTACAAGCTAGATGTTGATTAATTTTATTTTATGTAAATCATATCTTAACAAAGTTGTCAAAAGAAAACAAAACAAAGCAAAAAACGGGTCTGTCGTGCATTCCACTTTGTTAAGTCCTTCTCCCTGCTAATGTCTGTGTGCATGGTGGACTCACAGGTGGCAGGCCCCAGCACTAAGCTTAGAGAAAACTCAATGTGATGACTGTCAATAGGATAGGCCAATGGGGAAGCAATGTGAAGCAGGAGGCACACCTCACATTCTACCTCCTCCAAAGTGGGCCAGGGCCTGCTCAAGGCAGGGTGGCAGGACTGGGCAGATAGGAGCTGTCCTCTCCACCTCCACCCTCTACTTAGAGACGTTGGTAACCTATGGATGCTGACTAATAAAAACTCTGTCTTCTCCCCTAAAGGCTGATGGAAATGAGAGGATTGGGGTCACTGAAGCCTACAGGAGAGAAGACAGGAGGGAGTGAGGGCAGGGAGGGGCCAAGACCATGACATCCTTCATCATGGGTGCTTGGAGGGTCAGCGTATGGCAGATGATAACCAGCTGTTCTCTGTTCCAGATGGATTCTGAGAAAAGTGGCCTTCATTGGTAGCAGGAAAGATTTAGGTGGGACATAACGATGAACTTTCTGAGAGGGTTCTTGAGAAAGCGGACATGCGTGTGCACACCCATGTAGGCGCAGATGTATGTGAGTGTGTGCATATATGAGACAGTGTGTGTGTGTGTATGTGTGTATGTTGTAAAACCAGACCAGGAGAAGAGGGTACTTGGTTTATACATAATTCCTCTCTCTGGAGCACTTTAGGAATTGGAAAGACAAACTCCACTCTGAAATGAGCCTGGGTCCCTCTGGGCTGGGGACAGAGAGATGGACTCAGACTACTTCTCTAGGTACCTCAGAGGGCAATTAGCTGGCTGGTCCATCAGTAAAGCCCCCAAACCAGAAGTCTGTGGAGCCAGATGGGTACTTACTTCCATGGCCCAACCCCCTCCCAGACAGTCCAGTGCACTCCTCTCCCATTAGAGCAGAAGAGATCATCCATCATGAGCAGGGATGGTGATGTCACAGCTGCAGGCCTCCGGGTGCACAGGAAGACTGTTCCAACCCCTCCGAGGCGTTAAATCATTCATGGGGCAGAGAGCCTGGGTGGCAGGAGATTTACTGCTGAGGGAACACTTTAGGGACCTGTGGAAATCAATTCTTTAAAGAGACCCCATCAGCTGACAGGCTGAGGCTTGTGCATATGATGGGGACCCAATGAACTGGGACTGGGGGAAATAACTTCCCAACTCCAAAACAGAGGACAGGCGGAGCTCCAGGCCTGTGGCTCAGGGTAGGTTCAAAGTGAAGGCAGGTTCCCATCACCCTAGGAGAGGGAGGGGAGGGAGCTCTCATATAACCAGCTCTGGCCCACCTACTCCTCCCATTACTCCGTGGGGTTTCTGTGCCCATATCTACAGGGGTTCTGCAGTTCAGTAATTTAGAAAGAGGAACGCTGTTGGGATATTTGCTAAGTCTGTTGGCTCTGCAATCTCAGACCACCCTGCCCAGCTCTGCTGGAAGGGGAGTTTCAGGCCAGCTTTGGTTTTTTTGAAGTGGATGTTGGAGCACTACCCAGCATTCATCCACTTTCTCAAAGACCATGTGAGCTCCTCAGAAGCCTAGTCTGTTTTATGATCCAGAATTCCAGAGCTTGATGATTTAGTTCCTGGAGTGCCATGAGCTAATGTAGCCAGTAGGAGCCTGACACCCAGTAGCAGCTGGGCCCTCTGCTGCCCCCACCACGCAGCACAGAGGGGGAGCTCTGTATCCAGCACAGTGGGTCTTTTCTGGTCTGGGTCCTGCCCAGCTCACCTGTCTCCATCTCTATGGCTACAGCTCGCTTTCTCAGTGTGCCCTGAGTAAGAACAACGAAGGGATGAAGGAAGAAAGGACAGGCATTTTCAGATCAGCTCTGGAAAAGCAGACACAGCTCTTGAGTTTCCCTTCAGTTCTCCCACTTTACAGATGAGGTTACTGAAGCCTAGAGGGGGAACTGACTTGCCCAAAGCTAATGTCTGTGAGATGGGAAAATGGGAAGAGGAAAGTCATGCTGAGCAACTACTGTCTCCCTTGAAATGACCTTGGTCATTGCTAACACAGGTAATGTAGAGCAGGTGGCTGCCATGGAGAAAAAGAGATCTGGAACAGGTTCTGGCCCCTGTGCTGCTGCCTGGCTCTGCCACTGGCTCTCACTGCAAGGGGGCCCTGTGCCACCCTGGTTGTAATGGCACTCTGTACCCTTGCTCAAGTATTCGCTCAGACACATATTTATGGAGCACTTTCCGAGAGTCAGGCCTGGGGATACAGCACTGAACAGGACAGATGTGGAACCTTGTCCTCCTGGAGCTTGCATTTTATGTCACCCAGACTAGTGCTAAAGGTCTGGGCAGGTAATTCCCATAATCCTGCCACCTCAGAGTGATCTGGGTGGATCCTGCTCCTGCTCTACCAGGTGCTCATAGCAGCTCCACTCCCTCTTCACAGGCCAGAGGCTGCTTCCTACCCCCTGTCCCCAGCCACCATCAGGACAGGGCTCCCAGTTTCTGTGCATGCTGCATCCCCACTCCTAGACTAGTCCCTCCTCAACTGCCATCAACCTCAGGAGGGCCGGTAAAGAGCAGATTCCCGCAGGGCAGAAGGCAATGCTGAATTCTGGTTCTTGGTGGGGCTTTGCAAAGAGCATACTTCAGAAGCCATCAAAGAGCATCAGGCTCCCATTCCCCCAACTCCCCCCTCTTCCACCTCGCAAAGCCCTACCACTCTTGTCGGGCTCTACCCCACCCCCTGCATCACCTCCCGGCAGGCGTCTCTGTCATTTGCAGTGAGGAACCCTGATTACCCTTTTTCTAAGCATCTCAGCACTTGCTTGGCACCCACCCCTCAGGTTTATCCCTCGGGAAAATCTCTGCAGCTCCCGAGGTCCCTTCCTGCTCCTCTCAGCCGAAGTGTGGTGGTGGTGGTGGGGGCGCCCGGGGGAATCTCGGGCTCCACCCCAGAGGGCCCCTCAGTGTTTTTCTTAATCGCCTCCTACAACTGTTGTCCCCACAGTTGTCCCTTGACCCGCCCCACCCAGCTTAGTGCAAAAAGCCCCGAGCAGGCGTCTAGAGGTCCTAGCTGGACCTGTGATCGTTCTCTCGTGAAAAACGAGAGGTTGGATCAGATAAACCCCTTTAGCTCTGAGAGGACTGGAGGGCACGCGGGGCAAACCAGACGAACACCAAGGTAGACAGCCCGCGAAGGGGACGCTCGCGAATTCGCAGAACTGAGAGGACCCCGAGCGGGGCGGGCAGAGTCTGGAGGAGGTGTCGGCGGGGACGCACTCACAGTGGGCGCAGGCACTGGGGCTGCGCGCCGGGAGCGAGGGAGGAGGGGACACGACGTCCCTGAACGCAACGCCTCGCCAGCTCCACAGCTGCCTGCGAGCAGGGAAAAGCTAATTCCATGCTCTTGCAGGGGCTGCGCGTTCTCATCCAAGAAAGGCGGACAACTTGACCTCTCGAATTTGGGTGGCAACTATAGGACTGAAAAGAGTGCTCCCCTGAAGAAACCCTTTGTTGTTTCCAAAGCGCTTGCAAAAACATTTCATTATTCGATTCGCCCAACAGTCCTCTGACTTGGGCAAGCTCCCAATTTTTAGATTAGATCCCAAATTTTAGGCTCAGAAATGTCCAGCAGGTGCCCAACAAATACGTGTTAAAAATTGATTAGGATAGGGATTATCCCAATTTGAGACAATTAAATTCTAATTATCGGAAGCACCCCAAAACAGAAATAAAAGCGTTTGCCTGGTTTGGGGCTAAATTATTCAGCTAAATCCTGCTTTGGACGCAGTAAGTGAAACACGGCCCATGGCCCAAACCGTATCTGGTCACCGACCTTTGGACAATCTCTGAAGGTTGCGAGACCCCGCCTCCACCAACTGCAGACAAAATCTCTGCTTAGAACCTTCGGGTTCCCGAGCCCTGGAGCCCCGAAAACATCCCCGGGGCTTGGAGTTGGGACGCCTTCTCGCACGTGGTGCGTGGTCAGCGTTCTCTCTTGTCGGGGTGCAGTGTATGCTGGAGGCTAAGACCCACGCTCCCGGCCCTGGCTGTGTGGGGCAGGGGAGGCTAGAAACTGGCGGGAACAGGGTTTCTCTCCACGGGCCATGCTCCCATTTTCTCCCCCCATCCCCCAGAAGGAGGTGTGGCGGGTGTTCTCAGTTTATACTACAGAAGAGGAGGAAACCGAGGCTGGTTCAATCCCACGCCTTGAGCCCCAGCCCAGTGCTCAGTCCCCTATCCCTTCCACCTGCCTTGTCCGCTGACTCGAGTCAGAACACCTCTAGTGAGGCTCTCCAGTCTCAGCTGCCGTCGGGGCCAAACTCAGCTGGGGAGTCACCTGGTGGAGTAAGGTAGGCAGAATGCTGCACAAACGCCACGCCTGCCTGGTTCGCGGTACACCCTTGGACCCGCATTCATCCAGCGCTCCGGCGCCGCAGCTCTGCGTCTCAGGCTCGGACTCACTCTGATTGACTCCTCTGCGCTTCATCATCCCTAATCCGAATTAAAAAAAAAAATTCCTGCCACCTTCTTTTTTAAATTGAATTTTTAATACAAGCATATAGTAAACAAACACACATACTCCAAACAGTCAAGAAAGACGTGCAGCAAAGAGTCTCCTGCCCAACAGCCCCCAGATCTACACAGAAGCCACCCCTATTTGCTATGTCTTACGTCTCCGGTGGGAGACTATAGTGCATTAAAAAACCGGACACCCAGACTCCTCCGCCCCAGTTATGTTTTTACACAAACAAGAGCCCATGTGTCTTTTGCGTTTTTCACCTAATGTACAGGATATTTACAGGATATATAACGACCCTATATATTTTCCTCACTCGTTTTAAGAGCTCGGTAGAATCCTATTGACAGGATCGCCTGTCATTTGTCAGTTTCTGTTTTTCTCGATCTATCCCTACCGTCTCTTATACTCCCCGCCCCTGCAGCAGGGGCTGAACCTCCGGGGTTCCGAGTTCTTTGAGAATGGTACCGAGGCTATGCGCTGCTCGAAGAAAAACGCAGAGACGCCCCCACACACCGTTTTTCGAAAAACGTCGGGGGCTTAGTTGGGTTTGGACACCCCTGTGAGTGTCGATCGAGGCACTTATAGATTCTACAACAAAGCACTGAGGGCTGGGGTCTGGGCTAAACAAAAGACAGTGCTGAGGCTCCCCTGAGCAGAACGGGACCCCCAGCATGGTGGCCCAGGCGGTGGGTGGGTTGGAGTGGTAGCGAGATCTCGAGGGGCAGCACCGGAGTCTGGGATACAGCGGCAGGGAGCAGGCCCCGGGAAGACGTCAAGCAGATTCGGATACAGGGCCCCTGGCAGCGATAATGCGGGTTCTGTAGTTCGCAGAATGCATTCTTCTTTCTCCCGAGAGGTGGAAGTCACTCTACCCATTTGCAAAACTGAGGCTCTGAATAGTGAAGTGAGGCTGGAGATCGCGCGGCTGGTAACCGGAGCGCGGGAGGACCCGAACCCGGGGCGTTGAATCAGTGGGGAATGCAAATTTCGCGTGTCATGGGACCTGGAGCCCCGATCAGCTCGGGGTCCCCACCGGTCTGAGCAAGGTCAATGGCAGAACTGCTGCCGCCCGGGCGGGTCTAGGTGGAGGCGGGGGAGGTGGGGAGCGGGAGGGTTTGGTGGACCACACTGCATCACAGACATCCCCCTCCCCAGCTCTGCCGCTAGAGTGGGAAGGGAGGGGAGACCGAGAGCTAATGACGTCTAGCAACATCTTCAGCACAACGGAGACTGCCACGGAAAGAGAGAGGGTGGAGGATTGGAGGACAGCGGGGCCGGGGCCGGGAGAGAATTAAGATGGTCAGAGAGACGAGCCGAGGCACCAAGGGCGAGAAAGAACCAGTGTTCAGGGATGGAGCGAGAGTCGCCGACTCTCGCAGGTTAGACTACAAAGGCAGGGCTTCCTAAAGGCTTAGAGGCCTTCCTAAGCCTGACCCAAGGATCAAGGAACCCAAAACTACGTGTAGTGGGTGCACAACTCCAAGCAGAGTGGGATGTTGGTGGTGAAGCGGAAAGGGTCTCTAGGGGAGGAGGATGCCACCGCCCAGCAGACAGACGTCGGACCTGCTGAGGAAGGGCAGAATGCAGGCGGGCATAGGGTGCATGGGACAGGGCAGCTGTGAGGCTCTGAGGTCATCCTGAGCCACGTCCTCCCCGCCAGCGCACCAAGTTGAAAGGTATCCGTGGTATCGGGTCCCCGGGGGCAGCCCCCTCACCGTCCCGGTGCAGCTCTGGTTACAGGCTGGGCCTGCTCCCTAAAATATGTATGAGGCCCTTGCGGGTGCGGTTTCGCTGCCCCTCCTGGAGTGGGGTTGGGGGCGTCGGGGTGCGCACGGAGCCACAGGGGAGAAAGCAGCGCTGGCTCCCGAGGCCGGGGCCGTCTCGACTTTCAGCAGCGCATTTAAGAAAAGGTGGAAACTGGATCCGTCTCCGCGGCGCCCCCATCCTGCCGGCCCCGACGGCCGGACCGCGCGGCCACCCGGTGGCTCGCTTTGAGCTGTGCGGTGTCTAGTTCTCAACAGCAGGTGAATGGGCCCGGGCGGGGCGTACGGAGCCCGAGGGGCGGGGCGCGCGCTATAAAGTGGGAGCGACAGGCCGCGGGGGCCACTAGCCACCAGCGTGGCCTGCGCTCCGGCTTTGCCCCTGGCACATCGTGCCCCTACCACCCACCATCCCACGCCCCTCAGGGACCAGGTAGGGAGCAGGTGGGGACTCAGCCAAGGAAGTTCAGGGCGACTTTGCTTGACGGGGTAAGGCGTGCGGGCCGGGGAAGGGATAGTATGGAAGTACCGCCACCCGTCTGGCCTGTTGGGCCCTGTGCCTTGCTCTTGATCTCCCCCGTCTGGGTCCTGGCGCCCCATCTCTGGCTGCGCTGAGAGGGACACCGAGGCCCGCCGGGCCCCCTTGCCTGGGGTGGGGGTCTCGCCTCCTACTCCCGCAGCGACGTCTAGGGCCGGAGCAAGCCCCGACCAAGAGTCGAATCTATTGAAGGGTTCGAATCCACACCAACACTCTCGGCCCCTCCCAGCTTGGCGGGCGCCAGGGTAGTGGGGTCTGTAGAGTCCCTCGCCCCTCATTACCACCGTTTACTCGCTTCTCTCCCGCCCAGGACAGGGTGATAACGGTCTTCAGTCTTAATACAAGAGCACTTTAGATTTGGTGAGGCATCGGCTGAGAACCCTTCTTTTTAGGGGCTTCTCGGCTGCCAGACCTACGGGAGTCGATAGGGAAAACTAGGAGATAAAAGGGAGGAGGGCGGATTAACGTTTTATTTTAATCTGGTTTTGAACTGTGGTTGCTGTTTGGGAAAGGCCAGGCTGGGCTGGGACTGGGAAGGGCGCTGAAGCAGCTGCGGACGGCGGTGGGGGGCGGGGCATGGAGGGAGGGAGCGCGGGTGTTCAAGGATGCTGGGGAAGGAGGAAGAGGCTACCTTATGCTGACAGCCTGGGAGTCTTCTAGCCCTTGCCCCGCCCCTCGGAATGCTCCGGGTGGTATCCGAGCGGAGGACGCCTAAGAAGGACCTAATCCGCGTCCGCGCCTCTGCTTTGGCCAGCCCTTCCCCCTCCCGGGGGAGCCACTGCCTCAGTATGGGGAAGGTAGGGGGATGGGAACGGGTCTGGGGGCGGCTCCCTCCTCCTCCCCCCTCCGGGACAGGCAGCCTTTGTTCCCGGAGGCGGCTGTGGCCTGATACCTGTGAGGCCGCTGGGCTGGGCAAGCATAGGTGCGTGAGGACGTGGCTAGGAGCCCCCTCTTTCCCACTTCAACCCTGCACCCCTGGGTCCTGTTGGGCGCACTGAGACAACTCAGCCTTGCGCACCTTTCTGCAGGGGAGACTGCGGAGATCTGTCCAGTGGCCCCATGGTGTATTCCAGCTCCAAACTCACTTCCCCTCCCCCAGCTCAGGGTCGGATTTCCAAGCACGCTAAACTACACACACCTCGTCTAGTTCCCGGCTCAGAGAGCGGTGGGGTGGCAGGGCGTCGGGGCGCACTTCGGCCAGCGGCACCCTGGCCTGAGGGCAGGAGGCAGGGCTAGAAGGCGGGCGACGAGACCCCTAGAGGCCAGACCCGGCCGGGTAGGGTGAACAGGCGGGGCTCTCAGCGTCTCTGCAGTCCGGGTCGGGCGTGCCCTGCGCGGTGCACCAACCCGAGCCACAGTCAAGGTGAATCATCCCGGGCCCGCCCCCTGCCCCTCCTCCGCCTCACGGCACCTGAGCCAATGGCGCGGCGCGGGGGGCGGGCGGGGCTCAGGGGGGCGGTAAACCCTCTCAGAGTCATTATCTCTGCGCTGTCGAACCCCTGCACCTCTGCGCCGGAGCCCGCGGGTCTGAGTGCTGCCGCGCGGTCTAGGGCACCCCGCGCACCCTTTCCTCGGGCTCCGGGGCCCTTGTGCCTCCTCTGCCCTCTGTGCGCAGAGGCGGCTCCTCCTCAGGTGGCCGGGCCAGGGCCTCCCCCAGCCGACCTGTCACCCGACACCCAGGAAGCGCGCCGCCCCATCCTGGCTCCTCTTTGTTCCCCCGCCGAGCTCCGCGCTCGGGCGCCGCCTCCTCCCACGTCGCTCTGTTGAGGTTCTTGGCACCGCTCTCGGCCCGCCCGGGCGCGCCTCAGGTACCGTCCATCCGGCCCGCTCCAAACCAGGTCCCTTTTTGCCTCGTTTCTCTCGAGTGGAATCCGCGCGGAGCTGGGGGCGGCGGTGCGCCCAGCCCGGAGCCAGCGCAGGTGAGTGTCCGGGGCGGGGCCGGGCGGAGCCAGTGCCCGGCGAGCAAGAGAAGGTGGAGGCGGGCGCCCCGGGGCGAGCAGTACTAGAACACGAGCTACGGCGGGGCTGCTGGGCAGGCGGGCGCTGCTTGGTAGGTTTGGCCTTGGCCTTCGGGGGTGACGCGGCAGTGCGGGCCTCCCGGCTCTCCCGCGTCTTCCGGCGGAGGCGCCCACGAGGCTCCAGGGTCCCAGGCCCTCCGTCCCTCGGTGAAGTCTGTCGTTCTCTCTGCGCTGCGACCTCGGCCCGGGGTGGCCGCACGGTTTGAGCGCGGATTGTGTTGGGAGAGGTGCGAATCCCCGGGGGCCCAGGCGCCTCCCTGGGGAATGGAGCTGGGGTTGTGCCAGCGTTTCGCCGCCCTGGTGGGCTCAGATGGAAGCGCAAGGTAGGGAGGAGGGCGGCGACCCGGCCTCGGGGGAGAGTTCTGCCCTGAGAGGTTGTTTCTCCAGCCCCTTCTCAGGGCTGCACGGCAGGTCGTTACAGCTCCTGTGGCCCCGGGGCGGCCACGCCCAGTCTCTGGGGGAAAGCAGTTCCCAGACACCCAGCTCGCCCCTGCTTCGCCGCCAACCATCCCTGGAGCATGGAGCACGCGGCGGACACACTGCCCCCCTTCGCCTACCCCTTTCCCCGTTAGAGCCAGCAAGCGCCCCGGTCCCATTGCGTCTGCTCTGGGGTCGGCGGCTGGACGGTGCCGCACCGGTGCGCGCTTCCGAGGAATCGGGCTGTGAGGGTAACCCCTGGGGGTCAGAAACCGCCCGATTCCGCGAAGCCCTCCAGGCTGAGCCATTCGCTTTCCCTCCCCCATCCCTGGCATCCCGGCACTGTTTACAGACGTGCCCGCTGGGGGCTGGGCGCGCTAATACTGGCTCAGAGCGATTAGGAGCCGGGAGGCCCGCGGTGCCCTAATCAACTTCCCCACCCCCACGGTCACCCCCATCAGTTAGGGGAGGACGGAGCTCCCTGAGTTCTGCCGGGCTTCGCAAAGCTCTTGAGGATTAAATGCCCTATTTCCCTCCCGGGGGCCAGGTGGCGGATGTCTGCGCTACGCCGCTAGTCCTCTATCGGGGTCACTGGGCCGCACCGGGTGCTCATCACCTCTGCCGGTCCTGCAGCAAGCCCGACGGGCACCGAGAAATCAGGTCTCGGAGCCGAGACTGAGCCTTCGAAGAATTCTGTCCCGACGGTGCACCGAGTGCATCCAAAGGAACGTGGCCCCGAATACAGCTCTTATGCGATGGGCCAGAGCGAATTCTGTGAGAGGGTCTCAGCTCGGATCCCACTCGCGGAGCTGCAGCCTCCACGGCCTGATTCTTTCCGCTCATGGCCGCCTGTTAAAGTACTCCAGGCCCTGGTCCTGCGCTGGGAGGAAAAGGGGAGGGAGGTCTTCTGGAGTCAGACTTGTGCAATGACGAAAAAAATTCCAGGGTGCCAGTTTCACTTGTGAGAATTTCGTTAATTTTTTCCTGTGAGGTGGGTTAACGGAGCCCGGCGGCTCTTGGAGGGAGCCCGCACGGCTGCAGCCATCCGCGTTAACGATGGGTGCTCTGCCGACCCAGGCCGCGACTAAAGCCACTTTGGCCCCCTCCCCTGGGACCTCGTGGGGAGACAAGGCGGCAGGCACCTTGCCCTAGGCATGTACGAGGGCCCCAGCAGCCCCCCAACCTCCAGCCCCTTGGGCGTGGGGACATTCGTTGGAGACCAGAGGAACCAGAACTGGGCTGGGTGTGGGTGACGCAGCTCGAGTCCAGGACTCAGGAATCGTTTTGTGGATGTCTAGTGGACAGCCTTGGGGCTTGGCGACGGTGAAAGACCACGATCTTGCAGTATTTATGACCTCATGTCCCAGCTTGGAAGGGAGCACAGACCCTGGGTGCCCTGAGGGAGGGAAGCTAGAGGAAGCCGAGACGCAGGCAGGCACCCGAAGATGGTGGTAGCAGAGTTTAGGAGGGTGGGCTGAGGGACCAGTGGAGACCTTGTAGGGTGTGTAAGATACACACACACAGCAGCTCTCAAATATTCCGGGCATTCTGGTGGCCTCCCCACCTGGCCTGCAGATTAGGTCTCTTTTACATGCCCACCAGCGCTGATGCTTTCTGTGGGAGCTCTCTCCTGGCCGAGGTGGGGAAACGGGGGCTAGCCTGCTCCAGGACCGTATTTCCATCTTCCCACTCACAGAATGGAGTTCTATGCCTTTGGATCTCAAGGTCAGGGCTGTGCCCCCACCACGGAGGGCAGAGAAAGTAGCTCTGAGGACTCCCCTTGAACCAAAGGCCTCAGTTTTCCGTTGTAACCTTCCAAGTGCGGTTACATGCCCTCCCAACTCCCTTTCGCCCCATTTTGGGAGAGCTGGGAGACCCTGCTTCCCTAGGGGCCAGGCGCCAGCCCCGCCGCAACTGAGAACTGAGGTACTGCTGGGCTCTGGGGGTTGCCCCAGGCAGCCTGGGGGCGGGCTGGGGGGTGGTATGGCGCCGCCCCAGCACTGCGGCACCACTGCATCCTGCGGCATTAGGCCTGCAGGGGCGAGGCAGGCACAGGGAGGAGCCTCGCCTAGCTCTGCCACTGGGACTGGCAGTCGGCTGGAAGGGGATTTGGTCTGGTAAGCTGTTCTCTTGCATTCCCTCCCAAGTCAGCTGCAAAGATGAAGAAAACAGATGAGGTGTCCACACAGAGATGCCGCCATCAGAAGGAGCAGCACAGGCAGCCCTCTCTTACCTATGGTCCTTTTTATTTACAGGACTGGGGAGAGCAGAATCCTCTCTTCTCAGGCCTCCTGCCCCTTTGTTGCCTGGTGCCAGACTAGTGCTGAATGTACTCTCTCTCCCACCTCTCCATACCCACCCCCAAAGAAAACGGTTTTTAGAGCTCCATTTCTTCAAGACACCTTGCTTAAGTCTGCTCTTAGCTTAGAGCAGTGACACAGGAAAGAGTTTGCAGACATTTCTCCAAGATCTTCATACCCTAGCAGAGTTGCCTGGCTACCTATTAAAATGCAGATTTCTAGGTGGGTTTACTAATCTGCATTTCAACAGATCCTTGGGTGAATCTGATGGTTACACCCTGAGCTCCATTGGTAACTATCCTCTACTAGACCCACAGTCTTTGCTAACGTTCCCACCCCCCACCTCTTGCCTGGGAAATTTCCCTTCTCTTTTTTTTTAAAAAGCAGAATTAAGAATTGTGGGGGAAACTGAGGCAGAATGCCAGAGATTGGGGTAAAAATACCTCCATCCCACTAAGCCCTGTTGGCCTCTGAGAGATGAGAGCCCAAGCAGTGGGCATTTGTTGAGGGAGGGAGGAATGAGGAGTGGGTGGGGAGCAGGGAGCATTGAGCAGTGATTTAGGTCCCCGTGGGCACAAGCCACGAGGACAGAGTGGGTGAAGATTTGGCACAGGTACCAGCTCCTAGCAATCCAGAGGTCTCTGGGAGAAGCACGGCTAAGGGGTTTCTTAGTTTCTGGGTCAGGGAACTCACTGTCAGACTCTCCCAGGGTGCTTTTCTGGCCACCCTGCCCCCTGGGCTCCAGGCTGGCAGGGTCCCCAGCCCTCCTGCCTTGGGCACTACCTCCCCTGAGAGCAGTCCTCTCTCTTGCCTTCTCTCCCTTTCTCCCCCTCCTTCCCCAGGGCACCAGGCACCAGAGGCAGAAGCTGCCACAACGACTTCTCTGGAGGCAGCCGCTCTGGCAACCACTGATGCAACCCTTCCTGGCCCCTCCCTTACCTCCCTCACCTCTGCTTCCTCTGCAGTCCCCTCAGAGCCAGCCAGAAGCCGCTCTCCTTGCTGGAGAGCAGCCATGCCTCCAGCTCCCTCTGTGCTGCCTCTTTGGCCAAGGGCCTTCCTGCTGTCCTGGCCTTCTCCTGCCTTTGGTCCTGGCCCCAGGTTGGCTGCAGAACATGGTTGGCCTGGGCCGTTCACAGGCCAGTCTAGTTTGGGATGGGAGTCTGGGAGGTTTGGCCCCATGGGGCTCTGTTCCTGCCACAGGGCATCCTTGGGGGTGGCAGATAGCTGAGACAAGGCATCTTGGAGGAGGATTGCAGGTGACTGCTCAGAAGCCAGGAGAGGCACCCAGAGTGACCCACTGGGCACTGTCCCTTTGGGGTCTGGCATGATGGACAGAGAATAAGATCTGGCCAGCTGCTGGCTATTTTGAACTGGATTCAGTTGCCTTCCCCCACCTGAGCATGGTGGGCTGGGTGAGAGTGGAGGGACTGTGGGTGGGCCTTCAGTTTGAGACAGGAAACCCCTTGATGTGGACATCTTGCCCCACCCTCTTCAAAGCTAGGTGTTCAGCCTTCCCCACCTCTATTGTTGTCTCCTTGG